ATATATATATATATATATATATATATATTTACTTTAGTTCTAGGTGGACACAATATTTTATTTTATGTGGTGCTGAGTGAGGATCAAACCCAGTTCCTCACCATGCCAGGTAAGCACGTTACCACTTGAGCCACATCCCCAGCCCCCCCGCTATATTTTTTCCAACCAGAAGAGTTACAATGAAGGAGGAAAAATTCTTATACCAAACATCAGGGAAAGMAGTAGGCCAGAGCTAAGGTGAAGCTGACCCAAGATGCCATCTGGCAAAGACCTTCTGAGCCAAGCGGCTTATTCTGTAGTGGGTACRAAGAGTATGAGAGAACTGTGCTCCCTGGGAACACTGTGGAGCTGGGCCAAGCCTCCTCTGCCAGCGCCCTCCATGATGCTGAACAAAACGGGCAGGAAGAGTGCATGTTGGCCTCCAGCTCAGGCAGGCTGCCTCTGGAGCACTTGGTTAGCTCGTATACTATGGGATACAGGAGGACTGTTCTCCTGGCAGAGGCAGACAACTGTTCTCAGGAAGTTCAGCCCAGTGCTGAAYGTGGGGCTGTGCCAGAGATTTGGAGGCCTATGTGCTTCTGGGCTCATTTGTTTTCAAGATGTGTAGTCTAGTACTTGCCACCCAAAGTGTGGCACCAGCAGCATTTGGTGTCCCCTAAGAACATCATAGAAATATCAAAAGTTAGGCTCTACCCTATACCTAGTGAATAGGTTTTGCTTTTTAATCACAATCCCAACATGAGTCTTACACCTGCTGAAAGTGTGAAGAGCTGGTATAGTGTGCCAAGCTAAAGCTGGGAGTCTAGGGAGCTGCCTTYATTCCTGATGTCACCAMTATCTTAGAGTGAAAATGTTTCTGGACAAGTTAGCTCTCTTCATATGTCAAAGGRAGGAACTGCTGCGGAGGACAGCAAGGCTTCTTCCTGCTCTGACTTTGCAGAYAGTACATCGATGGTTCTAGACTGTGGTCTGTAAAGGTTGGGGAAAATGGCAGTAGTACCCTCAGAATCAGCCATCACCATACAAACCCACTGCTGAGCCCCCTCAGGTTTTATATTCTTTCCATAGAGCTGGCTCCTCGTTCCTTACCTTTAGGTTCAAACGCTGGTAGTCACTAGCCTTTGGCCGCCGAGTTACTTTGGATCTTTTTCCTTCCAAAGCAAAAGCAATAATCTGGGGAAAGAAAAGGAAAAGTGATTAACAAATGGCTCTATAATAACATATTTCAGTCCCTGAAATCAGAGGCAGTCGCTTGGTAGTACATTTGCTAATCACTGGACTACAGAAAGAGAAGTATACCCACAAAGAGCCCCATTTAAACTACAAGAT